AGGTTAGAGCAGCCAGGCAAGCTAAGGAGAGGGCCTGCTCTCCTTCTGTGGCTGGGAGCTGCAAAAGCACCACTCTGGGGGGGCAAGGAAAAACACAGCCATAACTACCTACCTGGCCAGGCAGTTCTCCTCAGCGGCACACCTCAAGTTGTACATAGACATCCTCTGCACGTACGTGGACGCCTGGATGTAATAGGGATCCGGGACTAAGTCAGGGAGACCTGCAGTGCATCAAACCAACCACACAATGGCAAGGATCAACCCGGGACACGTCTGCAAACAGGGAGCTGCGCTCTCAAGCAACATGCAGGGAGAGGTCATCTTGGAGCTAAGCTGTGATGAGGGTTGGAAAATTGGGCTTGGAAGAGACTTTGGGAGGCCATGGTTCTAGGCCAAACCTTGCTCCACGCCAGGACCACCCCCACCTAAATCATCCCACCATGGCTTTGTCTACTCAGGTCTTAAAAACCTCCAGGAATGGAGATGCCACCACCTCTCTCGGTAACCTGTTCCAGGGTAACTGGATCTCATCTGATTGGGTCTCAGTCTTAACCCATTCCCCCCGCCCAGAACTGAAGGGAGTTGTAGCTCCAGCCATGCCTGCTGTGCCCCTATTATTGCGCAGAGGACTCCTGCCCATTGTGACGTAGGCACAGATCACCTCTTGCCAGCATTGCCAGGTCTTAAATATGAAATTATTGTATTGGAAGCTCAAAATGATCACATTTGCTAAGAGAGTAGCCCATACTGAAAAAATATGCAAATAAGTATGCAAATCAACCATCATCTTATTTACTTCATATTGCTCACTGTAGCCAGTGAGTAAGAACTGGGTCATCAAAGCTGAAGCATTTTTTGATTTTGAGGCAAGCAGTCATAAGAAAGTGCTGCCAGCAAACCCAAAAGTCAGTTACGACTCCCTTGAGAGTGACTTGGGTCTTGCATATGCTCCATCAGTGAGCTGCCTCAGAAAACAGCGTATGTTTTGAAACCCAGGGGAACCACACTGTTCTTTACCTCCCTTGCACACAATGAAGTTTCTTTTCTTTCTGAGTGTAAGTTGTAGCTGGGTTGGTCTAAGGACACAGGCAGACAAGGTTCTTTGAGTGAATCTGATATCTTTTATTAGACCAATTTAAATAGTTGGGGAGCAGGGAAATTTAAAATGAAGTGTTTTTAAACCCAAAAGCTTGCTAAGAAAAATGTTTCCAGCTATTTAAGTTGGTCTAATAGAGGATATCAGATTCACCTAAAGTACCTTGTCATTTCTAAGTTGGTCTAATAAAAAATATCAGATTCAGCCGAAGAACCTTGTCGTGTCTCCCTGGGCGAACTTTTACAATCTTTGAGCTCTCTTCTGCCTAAAGAAAAGTGTTTGGACCCAACAGCCTGCAAAGAAAGCTACTGTTGTTTGCTACTATGTAGCTGGTCTAAAGGGGATCGAGGAGAGCCAGGTCCACGTAGTGATCCCTGGTAAAATCTCGGAATGGACAAAAACACCAAAGCGGCGCAACAATCAAGATCCGGACGCTGTTTTTGTCAACAAGAGAGAAGGGGTGTGATAACAACTCTCGCCCTTCGCGCCAGTGTTTTGTCTGCGGTTGCTTTTTACACCGACGGGGTCACAAGCTCTGTCCCCAATCCGACACGGAGCGGTTTCCCTACGCCGGGCCCTACCAGGGTTGCAGCGCCGGGACAAGCGGGCTCGGCCCCTGCCTGCCAGCGGGGCGCGGAGCGGGCTCTTACCATGCTGGAAGTAGCCGGTGCCGTAGCCGGGTCTGTACCTGCTGCTCTGGCGCGGCCTCTCGTACGTGTCGTAGTAGTTGTAGTA